AACGCTCTATCCACTGAGCCAAACCGGTTCCGGCTAATTAGAATTATTGATATGATGTATTTTGGGTAACTGTTCTTCCAAGGTAAGTTATTTTGGAAGTTTTTACTCATGCACATTTAATACAAAACCAAGGAAATTATTGACACTGTAATATAGTGAGAGGAAGCAGTTACAGAGGAGAAGGAGCATGGCCTTGATAGTTATAGAAATCAGGAGTCCAATTCTAGCTTTTCTACTTCCTAAATATGTGACTGTGAAAAAATGATCTAGTTTTTCTAAACTTCAGTTCTCCTGTGATATGAGGTTTATAATACCTGCCATATACTGTTTTCTTAAGGATTAGAGAATATATATATATATATATATATATATATATATGCCTAAATATTCAGCAAACAATGGTGGTGGTGATGGTTAAGTGTCAGGACAACTGGATACTGGCCATTTTCAGCACACATGGCTAACTAGCTTTGTTCAAGGCCTGTAGTTTTTCATTTACAAAAGGAGCCCAAAATATCCACCTGTTCAGGAATGGCTTCTGAGGTTAAATTAATTTGCAAGCAGTCCATTTTTATTCTTTCTTGCCTTCCTATATGGTTTTATTGAATTTGGCACTTTTAAATTATAGGTACTAGTAAAAGGAAACTGGTCTATTTATTGTATACACATAACACAAAACAGGAAAAGAAACAGAAACGGCAAGTAGCCAAGTAGCCAATCCTAATCTTCGTCTTGAGTTCCAAGGCAGAAAATTCTCCTGGTCTGGTCATTCCTCCCGAGAGTGGATGAGGATGGCAATCACCTTGAGGTTGCTGACCCCATTTGGGGCAGTGATTCCATTGCTCTCATCTTTAGATATTCATCTTGTTCTTGAACAGTCAAGACAGGACTCTCAACTAAACAAGCAAAACGTGGTTTCCCATTTGCCTGGCTCTAGGCTCCTGTGCTCTCTAGCCCAGAACACAGAAGGCTGCTTCATAAGGGTGGAGGCCAGGAGAGGGGCGTTTTATTTTATTTTATTTTATTTTTTATTTTTTATTTTATTTTACTGACTCAGGCTATCTTACTTAGGGTGAAGAAGATGGCAATACTGGAAATAAAAATGTTTCTCTAGCCAGACTGCGCTAAGCAGTACAAAATGATCCGATCCATTGTATATTTTAAACTAGAACATTGTTGCTATCTGAACCCAGAATAGTAAGGCCTGTATTTCTCTACTTAAAAGAGGAAAAGAAAAATCAAAACAACGAGGCCTGGGGAAATTCCCAGCATAAGACTGACGCCTGATTTTACCACTTTTTTTCCTCATACCAGCCAGAGTTTGATGATCACAAACAGAATTTTACCCTGCTTCCCAGAACTGCTGTGAAAATTAAATGAAATAGCAAAATGACTCTGTCAAGTGCAAAATGTCACATAAATATCAGTTAGGTTATGACAAGAAGGGAACTGGTATCACTCCAAGTTTGTGCTGGGAGACTGCAACAATAAAATAAAAGGCGGCTGAGCAAATGTGCCAGACAGGAAGCAGCCCAGCTCATGAATCCAGGCTGGATTCCTTTTGCTGAGCTACACCTGCCAGACTGGAAGCCCCTACTTCTTCAGTCATGAATGAGCACGTCCTGCCCAGGAACTCTGGCTCCACCCTGCAGTGCTGGCCCAGAGTCAAGTCTGGACTCACTTCCCCTCTCGCTTGTCTGGTACTGCCTTTCTGATACCTTAGGCCTTAAGCCAGACTCTCAAGTTTTGCCCCCATGCAAGTACCCTAATAATGAGAACACTCCTTCCTCCGTGCAAATTTTCCTTCCCTCCTCTTTCTTCAAAGTCACTCCTATTACCACTCCTTCTGTTTCACATCTGCCCAAGGTTTCCATTAGAGGGTGTGGGGGGTCAAGCACCTGAGAAGAGAGCTAAGGAAGAAAATGTGTCCTGTTGACTATTTCTCTGAATTGAGTCTCACCTACTCCCCACTAGTGCTAACTCCTAGCTAACTCCTTGTTTCCAGTAAGAACATAATAGGTTCTTAATAACTACTTACGGAATGAAAACAAATATCACATAATGAATCAGCAAACACTTGTCAAGTGAAGCCCCAGGCCTTTTCCTGACCTCCCTCCGAATTCCTGACCTGCCTTCGGTCTGCTCTATGGGGTCTGCTCTATGGTCAGATTCTAGGGCAGCCTAAGCTTGGTTTCCCAAGGCTGACTGTGACTGTAATTCTTTGTGCACAAAGGACAGCTGTCAGCACATCTATTCTCTTGTGTGAGTTGTGAGAGGAAAAAGAAACTGAAAAAGGAACAAGTCTCACTTTCCATCTGTTTTTCAGAAGGGATGGAATCAATGTGACAGTATTTAAACGTGTGTGTGTGTGTGTGTGTGTGTGTGTGTGTGTGTGTGTTTAGGAATGATATGGAGAGATTTTGAACTTGTGTTATTTTCCACAGAATAGAAGAGGTATCTTGTCTGGAAAGCACAGTTGCTGACAGTAGAGGCTGACTGACTCCTACCCAAGTTAGCAGGTAAAAGGGCACAGCTTTAGGTGCCCACCACTCACCACTCCTATCTCCAGATGCCCTGAGGATCAGGAGGCCAGGTCTTTCTGAAACACACACACTGGTAGAGCACATTTAACATAAACCGCAGACAATGGTAAGCAGGCAAACATACAAGTAGGCCAAGAGACACACTAAAAGATGCTCAACATCACTACTCATCAGGGAAATGTAAATTAAAACCTTAATGTGACACCGCCTCACACCTGTCAGAAAGGCCATCATCAATAAATCAACAAACAATCCCTCGTGCACTATTATCGGATTGTAAATATATACAGCTATTAGGGAAAACAGTATGGAGATTCCTCAACAAAAAAAAATTAAAACCCGAAATTCCACTTCTGGGTATTTATCCAAAGAAATCCGAAACACTAATTCAAAAAGATATATAAGATAATATATTTATTTTTATGGGACGCTTAGAGTTTCTGGAATTACTTCTGTTCTTTATTTTATCCTCTTCCCAACACTGTGGGTTTATTTTGAAGGCGTCTGGGAATGGGGTGAAGAAAACTAAGGGAGAATGACAGAACATAGGATATAGTAAGTATATGGTTGGGGGTAGGGGATGATCAGTGCAGGGAAGGAAAGCAAATTGAGATTAAACCTACTCCTATGGCAGAAGTAGGTTACCAGCAGCAGGACTAAGAATCTATCCTCAATTGTGGCAGAAATGGGGAAATAGAAACGTAACGTTCCTAGTCCCCTCACTAATTCCTAATCTTCTTTAGACTTGAGAGGCCTGTCTAGATATCTGTAGGACTTGGCTCCCCAGGTATCTGATCTCCGGTTAGTGTGGAGATAAAGAAGAAGTGGTAGACGTTGATACTCAAGAGAGATATAGTTCCAAGGCTTGACCTATAAGAAGAGGAAGTCAAAGAGCTGGGATGGCGGATGTATCACCTGTGTGAATCATAAATATTGAAGGAGTAGGATAGGATGAACAAACTAGCCTTGAAGTTCTGAATGAAACTCTGGGATGGCACAGTGTTTGGCATACTGTAAGCGCCTAGTGGACACCAATTTCCATCAGAGGTTGTTGGCTTTCAGTCTATTTTAGGGAGCTGTGTATTTTTTAAAAAAAACAAAAAACAAAACAAACAAAAAAAACTTTATTTCTTTATAAACATTCTTTTCCAAATTTCACTTTTGTTCCACCAAGGTTCTGGCACCTCCCTCACAAAAAGGACTCTGGGTGAATCACACCAGGTCCAGAACCCAAGAAACAAAAGTGACATTGATCAAATGATGGGTAGGAAATGGAGACTGGTTCTCTGCCTATCAGAAGTAAGAAAATAAAATAAAACAGGTTTCACTTTACAGGCTAACTGTGCAGCATTATGTGGAGGAGGATTCAGAGGCTTTGGCTCCTGAGCATGGGCTCCAAGAGGGAGGAAGTACCACGACGGACGGATGGATGGATGGATGGATGGATGGATGGATGGATAGATAGATGGACATCTGCTGTGGGAAGGAGACCATGCGCTGGCCCTGGCTTGCTGGTTTGTTTGCAGAAGGACAGGTTCCGGGTAGAGGAGGCACCTCCTAGCCTACATGCAAAGGAGCCAGGCCTTTTGTGTGTCACGGGACCTCAGACCTGTCTGTCAGGTCCGGGATGGGGCCTAGTCGAAGAGCTTAGGAAAAACACCGAGCGTGAGGGCATGCAGAGCCGGTTCCTGACGTTTGCCAGCTGAGTGGCTGGGCCGGTGCAGGTGGGCCTGGGCTGTGGAGCCGTCCTCCTCCCAGCCTTGCTACCTCCACCGGCCACCAGGCAAGGGAGGAAAAGAAGCCATGGGATCACCCGATCTGCACAGACTTCTCCTGCAGCAACGCAAGTCACAGGGATAAGAGTTGAGCACACTGGACGGGCCCCACAATCCCACAGAAATGTGGGGTCCCGGACCCCTGCGGGTGATGCCCATAGGAGCCAGCCACTCCTCCTCTCACCCCAACTCTGAGAGCAGCAGCGCTGGGTGCAGCCCAGCCTCCCTCTGGGCGGCCACGGGGTTGAGACGTGGTCTGTGGGGAGGCCCGGAGCTGTCAGGCAGCTGCGGGGCGGGGAGGGCGTGGGGCTGGGGAGATGACGGGGCTCCCAGGGCTCGGAGAGTGTGAGGGCGGGGGTTGCTCTGGGGGTGAGATGGGTGGGGGGCCCACCTTGGCCTTGTGCGTGTGTGATGGAGGCGGGGAAGGCATGCTGGGGCTGGCCAGTGGGGACGGGCAGTCTCCCTGGAGGGGCCCGGGAGGGCCCAGGCCGGTGAGCCCCCCTCCCCGGGGGCCGTGCTCCCCCCAGAGCAGCCAGGAAGCCGTGGGTGCGGCTCCCGGGCCCCAGGCGCCCGGCCCTCCCCGAACCCGGAGTCCGGCGGCAGGAAACGCACCACCCGCCGCAGCGGGCACTCGGGGCGGAGCCGGGGCCGCGGCGGGCGAGGCCTCCCGGGAGCGGGCCGGGCGGGACCGGCGGGGCCGCAGGTGAGCCGCCGCCGGCCGCCGGGCGGGGGAGGGGGCGCGGGCGCAGGGGAGGGCCGTCCGCCGCCCGGCGCCGCCTCCGCCCCCGGCTTCCTGCGGAGGCCGCGGCCGCCATGTTGTCGCGGGGCTGAGCGGCGCCGGGCCGCGCTGACAGGCTGCGCAACAGGTTCGCGCGGCGGCCGGGCGGGGTCGGCGGGGTCCCGGGGCCGGGGTCGCGGCCGGGGTCAGGGGTCGGGGGTCGGGGGTCGCGCTGCGCCGTGCGGAGGCGCCGGTGGGTGAGGCGGCGGCGGGGCCGGCAGGTGCGGGCGGCCGGGCGGCGGGATGGGGCGGCCGCGCTCCGCCTGGGGGCCCCGGGCCGGGCTGCCCCGAGCGAGGCCCGGGCGGGAGGCGGACACTCCGGAGCCGGTTCCGGCCCCGCCGGCGGCCGGGGGCGGGGGAGGGGGATGCCCGGCGCCGGGCCCGGGACTCCCGGCCGCGGCCTCTCCCGGCAGGTGCGGCGGCGGCGCCGAGGCCCGGGCGGCTGCCCCCCGGCAGCTTCCGGGGTCCCGGCAGAGAGACCCCTCCGGGGAGGGGGCCCGCGCTTCCCCGGGGACCCGCTCTGTTTTCGCGGAGTCGGTTTCCCTCCCCGGGGATCCGGGTGCGGAGCCCGCGAGCCGCATCCCGGGGCGGCCGGGCGGCCGGGCGGCCGGGGGGCAGGGGTTCGGGGGCCGGGCGGTCGGGGGTCAGGGGCGGCCGGGGGGCTGGGGCGCCGGGGAGCCGGGGGCCGGGGGCCGGGGAGCCGGGGGGCCGGGGGGCCGGGGGCCGGGGGCCGGGGAGCCGGGGCGCCGGGGGGCCGGGCGGTCGGGGGGCTGGGGGGCCGGGGCGCCGGGGGCTGGGGGGCCGGGGGGCCGGGGCGCCGGGGGGCCGGGGGGCCGGGGCGCCGGGGGGCCGGAGTGAGGGCCGCCGCTGCTGCTCGGTTGCGGTTAGAAGGACGCCCGCCTGCCTGCGGGACGGCCGGGCAGCCCGAGGCGCAGGCACGGGAGGCTGCGCGGTGTCGGAGGCGCCGGGCTTTCTGGCTAAAGGATCTCCGGTGGCGGCTGGGCTTCCCCGGAGACTCGTACGAATGATGGATTGGGAACATCATTGTGGACAGGAGGCGACCGCTTTAGGGTAGGAACCAGGGTTCACACACACACACACACACACACACACACACACACACACACACACACGTGTATATGAAGGCTTTGCTCGGTGCTCTGGTTCGTGATTACCGGCGTGGACGCGCTTCCCGGGAACAGGAGAGGGTGGCGGGGGCTCTGCGGCTCCGGCTCCATGGGGAGCCCTGGGCTCCGGGCTGCGGCCCCCTAAGCCGCTTAAGAGGACGGCTTGCCTCTCCCCGCGCCGGTGTCCTAAGCTGCTCATCGGTGACAAAACCTAAACGCAGTCCAGAAGCACCGGCCCTTGTGTAGAGTAGGAACGCTGCCTGCGGATGTTAGAGAGGAGCAGCTCTGCCGTGCACGCCTTTTGGGGGGAGAGGGGGGGTGTTTGTTTGTTTGTTTGTTTGTGTGGGATTTTTGTGCCTACGATTCCCTTTTAATTCCCCCTCCCCCCAGCTTTATGGAGATGTGGTTGCCGTCTATCCCTGGTCATTTCGAAAGTATATGAAGTGGAAGTTGTTTTTTAAAAGCTCAGCAAGCAGAATGTCATGTTTTGGAAGGACGTGGGGAAATGTGCAGCGCCGCTGTTTTAATGTAATATAAATAAGCGACTGACAGCTTGCCTCTTTTTTGTTGTTTGTTTGTTTTGTTAGCCTTTAATGCATGTACTTGTTCCTCTTGCTCACCTTTAGAAGGAAAGGTAGAATTGGCTGAGAAAACCTGCCCCGTACTGAATTATTGAGCAGGGAAGTGCTATTGTTAGTTCAGCATATTTCAAGGCAAAACACCTTGACCTCGCTTGACTGTGAAGAAATGTGGTAGGTATGCTCTGGGATTGGAATTATAGTTTGGAATTTTTTTATGTTCATAAAAAGAGAATAGTATAAGGAACCACCATACACCCATCGCTCAAACCCAGCAGCTTTCAAGGTTTTCTTCATGCCTCTCAAGAAAATGATTTGCCTTTTCTTTCTTTATTGTTTGGCCATTTCAGTCCTATATATTTAATATTTCTCTTTTTTAAAATAAAAGTTGAAATTTTCTTATGTAACCTAGGATTTTTCTTTTTAATACGTCTTTAAAGTAGACTTAAACAAATTTCCATCTTTCTACTAAGGCAGAATTATTTATTGGCCGTTTCCATTAATGACATTTTTCAGTATTGAAATATATTTTCCATGCCCGTCATATTTTACATGTTTATTATATATAGTATAATATATATATAATATGTAATGTATGAGATATATATATATATATATATATATATATATATATATATATATATATATATATATATGCCGTGCTTGACACTTAACCGCATGCTAGGCCCTGTGCTGTTTCACATAACCCTTTAAAGCTTACAAGCACTCTGAGCACTTATTTCCCTCCCATCAGATAGGTAAGTGAAATGTTAACCTGGAGGTTAGCTGACTACTCCAGGTCTCTGAGCCAGTAAGTACCAGAGCCAGGGTTTCAAACCCAGGCCCTTCCAGCTGCAGCACCTGTGCTGTTATCTGGTCTACTCATCTTCGTTCAGAAATGTGTTTGTTTTTCAATGTTACTTGGACAGGCAATAACTATTTGTTGAGTAAATGAATGAAAGTACATGTTAGTCCATTGGTAAGTAACTACCATTTTTATATACTTACTTTTTATATATATACTGTATATACTTTTAAAGCATTTGTATTGAGTTTTAGAATTGTCCTGAATATTATTCAGAATAAGCTAATTACATTACTAAAAATGTGGTATATTTATTACCATCTAACAGTACATTTGCTTGTTCTCTCTCTCTCTCTCTCTCTCTCTCTCTCTCTCTCTCTCTCTCTTTGGCTTATGTGTTCAGATCTTTTAATACCTTATTTCTGGAAAAAATTGTGGGATAACTGCTTTTGAAGAAAGGCTAAAAAGAAAGGCATACTCTTTTCGTGTGCTAATTGTTGAAGGTAGGAATCCAAGTGTGATGTAGGAAAATGTTTAGAATTCTGTAAATGAATAGATCTAAAATTGAAGATGCAAGAGAAATGCTGTATTTTTTACTTGAGTTCAATTTTTACTTTATGCCATCTTATAACTACGGAGCACAGTGTCTCACGTGAGAGTCCTGTTATTTAGAGTGTGCCTGTAGGTACTGTTGAGAAGGAGGAACCTGGTCTAAGGATCTGAAAGCAGAGAGGAAGTGGGGGAGGAAGGGAGGAAACGGAGCAAAAATAGGACAGAGAATACATCAGGAAATAATGTATTTTTACAAGTCTAAGAGGGCAACATATTTCATTTGCAATGTGTAGCAGTATTTTGAGAAATTCACTTAAAAATAATTTCACAGTATATCAGGACACTGAGTGACTTATTTACTTGTGGAGCTGTTCAGCAATGGTTATGGTAGACATTGAGGGATGCATTACCAGATGGTAGACATTTAACTTGTTTTATTGAAGCAACTGTTTTATGTTTTCTAGATCATCTTCTTCACTCCTACATATTAATTTTAGAAAAGGACACGCTGTTTAATAAAATTTTGTTTTCATTACTATAGTAGATAGGATACAGACTTTCAAGCTCCCAGCTCCAACACCAAATAGTTGTATAACTTTGAGAAACTTACTTTAATTCTATAAGCTGGTTTCCTCAACTCTAAAGTGGGGATGATAATAACTGCTTATGCCTTACTATTGTAGTATGTAATATGGATTCTTATTCTTAATATTAAGAAATGATACCTGTTACTATTCCAATTTGCTTTAATGAGAAACTTCAAACTAAATTAGCGTGTGTGTGTGTGTGTGTCTTTTTTAACCTAGTGACTGGAAAATAAATTAGTTTTTTGCTCCTAAGTTTTAGTGTTACCTCAAAGTAACCCATATAAGAAGGCTGGAAAATAGAGTAGAACTGTCCCCCAATCTTATCCAACAAAGAATTTGTCCTTTGAATTCTCCTAATTTGGGGAAGGAGGGTGGAAGGAGGACACCAAAAATATAACCTAAAGGAAGAAATGTTCTGTAAAAGAAACTATACTCCAGATTATCTCTTCAAAACCTCTGGAATCCAGGTGCTTAAATAATTTCCACTTTTCAGTGGACGGAGGGCTTGACTAGTGTGAGATTAATAATGGTCGGGACTGGTCAAGAATGGTAGCAGTGTCAAAAGAAAGAAGAATAGTGGGCAGTGTCAACTGCAGATGCAGAATAGATAAGAACCCAGCAGTATTTGCTCTGACAGTTTGGAGGACCCTGATAACTTGCTTTATCATTTCTTTTTGGGATAGTCATTTGGACACTTCTCACCACCCTATTACTCCTTCTCACCTAAAAATGACTGCATAGCCTGGCCTGTGTGGCTCATTCAGGTTCAATACGAGATCAAGTACCTGGGTTGCAGGTTCAATTCCTGCCCCAGGCAAGTGCAGGAGGCAACCAATCCATGTTTCTCTCCCTCCCCCCTCCCTCCTTCACCTCCTTCTTGCTCTTCTACTCTCTAAAAAAATCAATGGAAAAAGTATCCTCAGGGGCAGAAAAAACAAAGAAAAACTGCATAATAAATAAGAATTAAGTAGGTCAAGTTAATAAATCTCACAACTTATGTAACACTTAACAAGTGTAAAATACTTTTAGTGAATATGAGTGAGAACTTCAAGATTACTGAAATTTGCCAGAATTTGCAGGCTAGGGATGCATGTGTAGCATCAATTTTCGCACTTTGTGGTAAGTGCTGAAAACCTGAATGGGAGAAGAAGGGGCTTCTTCTCACTGCATTGGCATGTTCATCTCTTGCTCTGGTCGGGTGGCTCAGTTAGTTGGATTGTCATTCCCTATGCCAAAAGCTTGCGGATTCGATTCCAGTCAGGGCACATACCTAGGT